CTCCTTGGATCCTTCAAAAAATAATTTTGAGAATGCAGTTTCTTTTACCTCTTAATGTCTTAAGTTTCAATCATCTATTTCATTTTTACAGGACAAGAGCAGAAGTTTTCGTTAAATTGCTAATTTCTATCTAGTTCAATACATTTTCTACCTTCGGCCTTTCTTGAGAATTCTATGATTACTAAGTTGTAAAAAGAATAAAAAGAGACTTTTACTTCTCGGCTGGATGAAAACAAGTCATGGCACTCTGGCTTATTGTTGAACTCTAGCAAAGGGGTACAAACAACAATTGTCTCTTGTGATCTAATCTGACACTTATCAAAGGTTTTCAGGTTCAACTTAAATAGCAGCTCATTCCCTTACCACAATCCATCAGAACTAAGCTTAAAATGTAACTTAAGTTCCCTTTAAATAATTCGAAACAAATGCATGAAAATTCAGAAAAACCTGCATGGTTTTTGTTTCTTTCTTTGTCTTGTGGACTTTGTGTTTGTTTTTTTTTTTTTTTTTGTTCGTTTGCTTAGGGTTTTTTTAATAGAAGATACTATGGCAAAATATAAATTGGAAGGTAGAATTTAAAGTTTTCTATGTGCTTTATATGCTTTTAAGCTATTAATACTAAAGCCATATTATTGACAAGAAACTTGTGACAATTTTAATGCTACTGCAAATAAAGCTAATGCTGCTTGGGATATAAGAGAGCAAATAAAATGGGTAGGCTAAGTTAATAAAAGTGCTAGTGTAACATGCCCATCCAGGGTAGTCTGTTCTATATACCATGTCTTAAAGCACACTGTCATTTACCTTCAGAACATGCATCATACTATGTTACTATATATTAATTTATTTATTTTTTCTAAATATCTGTCTCCCAAACAGGCTATAACTTTCATAAGAGCAGAAGCTGCATTTGAATACTCAAAATTGGATCAGTATAGTTCTTGATAGTATAGAATACACAGGCAATGAATATTTTTTAAATGAATGAAAAGGTCCTGGTAAATTTTATCAGACTCTTATAAGATCTGTAATTGTTGTCATATCAGAGAACATCAGAGATACTAAGTAATTTATTTTGGAAAAGGGAAAGAAAGGAGAAGGAAAAGGTAAGAAAGAAGCCATAGTTATTGGCAAATGTTTGAAGTTATTTTATATAAAAGATGAAATGGCCTTTTATTTTTTCCGGCCGCAGAACCATGATCATAGACTAGGCATTATGGAAATACAGATAGACTTCAGGTAAACAGGAAGAAAGATTTTTCTAAAAAGTAGAAGTGTTTATAACATAGTATGTTAACAAGAGCTGGACCAAGCTGCTCAAGCTGCTTAATAGAAATGTAAAGCAGGGAAAAAATACTTACCCAAGCACACATAAGAAATGTCCCAGGACAGGCTGGGACTCTGTAGGAAATCATTTCTAAGATCATCCATGGCATTAATATTTTATGTTCAGTTGATATTATCTAATGCAAAAGAAGCAATTGCAATTATTATACTTTCCTAAAATAATAACCATTTAAAATCAACTGACATTCAATAAACTTAATGTTTTGTAGACGTCAAACAAAATTGTAACTTTTTCTTTTCTTTTTTTTTTTTTTTTCTTGAGTCGGAGTTTTGCTCTTCCTGCCCAGGCTGGAGTGCAATGGCACCATCTCGGTTCACTGCAACCTCCGCCTCTCAGGTTCAAGCAATTCTCCTGTCTCAGCATCGGGAGTAGCTGGGATTACAGGCACCTGCCACCACACCCGGCTAATTTTTGTATTTTTAGTAGAGACAGGGTTTCCCCATATTGGTCAGGCGGTCTCAAACTCCTGACCTAAGGTAATCTGCCTGCCTCAGCCTATTTTATAATTTATATTAAATAACTAGAGTGGAAAAGGTAGTGTAGCACTGGAATTCAACTATTAAATTCAAATGTATTATGTGTTTAGTTAAAA